GTATGAGAAGGCAGAGGAGCAGGAGAGACCAATTTTGAGAGAATCTGGCTGTGACGGGAAACCAAAAGGCTCCCCTCTTTCAGATTCTGGGGCAGTCTCCCATTTTTCTCTGTACCTCCCCTACTCTACTATTCACGCTTGTTTAGTTAAAAAAAAAAAAAAAACCTCAAAAAAAGATCCCCCAAAAACAAAAAAAACACCATTGTCGAGTCAATTCTGACTCATAAAGACCCTATAGGACTGAGTAGGACTGCCCCATAGGGTTTCCAAGGAGTGACTGGTGGATCCAAACTGCCGACCTTTTTGTTTAGTAGCCTGAGCTCTTAACCACTGTGTCACCAGGGTTCTCAAAGGAAGGAAGAAATATTTGGGCTTCGATTATCTCACCAGCTCTCCTGCTGCCCAGTGTTAACTCTCCTGTAGAGCGCCTGGCACAGACTCTTCCCCAGGGTGCTATCTTTTGGAAGAATGATGGGCTGCAGCTCCTCCCACCCCCACTCCCAGGCCTCCCAGAATCCACCCTCCCCTGCAGGGTGCCACATCCTTACCGGCTGCTTCAGGGCCTCCACAAACTTCTCCCCACCCAGGAAGTTGCAAGCCATGTCGATGTCCCCGTTGTAGACGAGGACGCGGAGGTCATGCTGCAGCAGCTCCAGGTAGAAAGGGGCCATGTCTGTGTACTGCCTCTGGTACTCAGAGGTAACCTGGGGGCTACAGGGAGAAGCGCTGAGGATGCCCAGGCAGGCCACATCTACCCTAAGACTCCAGGAAACTGAGAACTTGGGTTCCTGGGGTCCCTTTTGAACCCTGTCTCCCAGCCAGCAAAGAGATGCTCCTAGGCATGAGCCTGCCCACGATGCCAGGGTCACCCATTTTCCCACACCCTTTTCCTGGACCATAGGACCTCCCACCTCTGCTTCCCTCTCCAACCACAACATGTGCCTCTCCCTCAACCATTGCTTCTTTCAACAAATATTTATCTCGAGTGCCTGCTATGTTCCAAGGAGCCATGGTGGCACAGAGGTTAGGCGCTCGGCTGCTAACCAGAAGGTTGGTGGTTCAAACCCAACAGCTGCTCTGTGGGAGAAAGATGTGGCAGTCTGCTTCTGTAAAGATGTACAACCTTGGAAACCCTATGGGGTAGTTCTACTTTGCCCTGTTCCAGGTGCTGGGATTGTAAGAGTGAACAAAAGCCCTGCCCTAGCCTCTATGCTAGTGCCTGCTGACTTGTCCTACCTCTGCCCCAAGAAGGTCCTTCAAGCCTGTGGGGCCAGAACCCAGCTGTCATGGTATCTCAGATCCCCTCAGGCTCACCTGCACAGTTCCCAGACAGGGAGGGAGTCAGGGATGTGGAGGGCCCTCCGCACGTCGTCCCGGTTCATCCACACATACATGGCAGTAGCATTGATGCACTCAGGCACTCCAGGGATGGGACCATCCGGAGGCTGGAAGGGACAGGGGTTCAAAGCCTCAGATATTCCTTGCCCCCATGGCATTATTCCATGTCCAAAACACCAAACCCAACTCATTGCCATCCAGCCAGTTCTAACTCATTGCGATTCCGTGTATGACAGAGTAGAAGTGCTCCATAGGTTTTTCTTGGCTGTAATCTTTACTAAAGCAGATCTCCAGGTCTTTTGTCCATGGTGCTGCTGGGTGGGCTTAAACTGCCAACCTTTAGGTTAGTAGTGGAGCGCAAACTGTTGGCACCACCCAGGGACCACTCCGCGCCCAGGTACCCCAAACTTGGGATGAATCCCATATAGATGCTCTTTAGGAACCCCACAATCCCTTTCCATGTTCTAGACTCCTGATCCTTTTCTGTAATTCTGCTGATTCCCCTTCCCACATAGGCTAAGTCCTTCCCCTTAGAATCCCCTTCTATAAAGCAGGAGAATTGGCCTGGATGATCTCTGAAGCCTTCCATCTGGGACTGTCCTGAGACCTCTCTCCCCCAGCAGCCCCTGCTATACCCTGTACTCAAAAGCAAGTTCTCAGGGAGAATAAGTAACCCAATAAAGGGGGGGATGAAGAGAGGAGGGCTAGCCAGGTCATTCTGTCTGCCTTCCTCTGCCTCGCCATCACCACACGAAATTCCAAAGTAAGGACTCTAGGACACACCTGTCCCCTGTGGGGTCCCTGAGCAAGTGCTGCCTGCCCCCTCTACCCTGGGCACCCCACCATCCTGAGCCCTTCAGGCTTAAACCATGCTGTCCCCAGGCCAAGGCTGCCCTGGCACAGAAAGCAGACAGCAGGCACAGAGGGTGCTTCCAGGGAAGCTGGAGTGAGGTCCCTTGGGCGCTACAGTCTGGGCTCTGGAGTCAGACTTCTTAGGTTAATATTCCAGCTCTGCCCTCGCTTTGTAGTCTTGGGCTAGGACACCACCTCTCTAAGCTTTGGTTCCTTCGTCTGTGAAGTGGGGATAATAATACTAACCTTGGAGGATCCTTGTGAGGATTAAATGAGATAAAATATCTAAAATACTCAGTGCCTGGCATAGAAGAAGTTCATTTATTAGGTCATTCATTCAACAGATAGTTATTGAGTGCCTCCTATGTGCCAAATATTGGGAATGCAGCAGTTAAAAGCAAAGTTCTTGCTTTTATTGGTCTTGCATTTCAATGGGGGGTGGGGAGAATAAACAATAATAAATAAATAATGTCAGGAAGTAAAGGTGCAATGAAAAGAATGAAGCAGAACAAAGTGCTGGAGTAATGGAGAGAGAGATGGGAGAGTGGGGAGTGGGGAGCTATTTTTGTTTGGGAAGACCTCTGACAGAGACCTGAGCAGAGACCTAAATGAAGTGAGAGAGGAAGCCACACAAGCATTTGGTGGCAGAGGGTTCTGGGCAGGGGAACAAAAAGTGCAAAGGCCCTGAGGCTGCAGCAGGTGAGGATGGAGCAGAGCAGTGATGGAGGAGGGGGAAAGTGATAGAAGATGTGGTCAGAGAGGAGCTAGAACATGTGGGGCCCTTTAGGCCATTGTGGGGACTTTGGCCTTCATCCTAGTAAGAAGGGAAGCCATAGAGGGTGTCATGGATTGAATTGTGTCCCCCAAAAATATCTGTCAACTTGGCTAGGTCATGATTCCCAGTATTGTGTGATCCTCTACCATTTTATCATCTGATGTGATTTCCCTATGTGTTGTAAATGCTATCATTGTGATGTAATAAGATGGATTAGTGGCAGTTATACTGATGAGGTCTACAAGATTAGGTAGTATCTTAAACCAATCTCTTTTGAGATATAAAAGAGAGAAGCAAGCAGAGAGACATGGGGACTTCATACCACCAAGAAAGCAGCACCAGGAGCAGAGAGTTGGCGACCTCATACCACTAAGAAAGCAACACCAGGCAGAGAGTTGGGGACCGCATACCACCAAGAAAGCAGCACCAGGAGCAGAGTGTGTCCTTTGGACCCAGGGTCCCTATGCCCGAGAAGCTCCTCGACCAGGAGAAGATTGATGAGAAGGACCGTCCTCCAGAGCCCACAGAGAGAGAAAGCCTTCCCCTGGAGCTGATGCTCTGAATTTGGACTTTTAGCCTACTTTACTGTGAGGAAATAAATTTCTCTTTGTTAAAGCCATCGACTTATGGTATTTCTGTTATAGCAGCACTAGATGACTAGGACAGAGGGTTTTGAGCTGAGGATGCTATGGCTTGACATCAGTTTTAAAAGGCCACTGCAAGGAGAAGAGGCTATAGGAGAACTAGGGTGGCAGTAGGGTCCTCTGAAGGAGGAGGGTATTGTAATAGTCCAGGCAGGAGATGATGGTGGATTGGATTAGTTGCGAATATGGAGAGAAGCATTACCTATAACAATTCTTTCCAGACACAAGGCCTAGCCCTCACCATCTTGCATCCCATCTGACTAAACCACTTACTGGGGTGGCCACATTCAGCTGGTATGTTCGGAAGAGGTTGCTCATGTCAGCAGCATAACGCCCCTGGTAGCTCTTTGCCCCCCAGCAGGACGAGTAGAGGTTGTAGATGTTGAGGCCAGTATCCTCAATCATGTCATAAGCTTCTGAGACCTGCAGAGAGAAATCAGTCCAAGTTCTCACTAGGGTTGATGTTGAAAACACAAACAATTTGCTATACTTCTAGTCGCGGGGCCCAATTGCTTTGATACGCAATCTGATGCAAAGCCTATGAGACCTGAGCTTCTACCCTCTGGCCTCTTGAGGTCAGAAGACGTAACCATGCCATACTATGGGGTGCTGCTGCAACCCTTTCTGACAGGGAGAGGGCTATCAAGTACTGACAAGTTCTACCATGCCAGTGGGCTCCATTATGCTCTAGGGACCAGGGTTCACAGTTTTTTTTTTTGTTTTTCTTTTTAATTTGGCCCATTTAGATTGGGCCAAAGACTCTAGTCCTCCCATCTCACCCATCTTACTCCGAGGAGTATTCCAACTATCTCCACATGGGCATGCACAGAAGGAACATTGAAAGGCTGCTTGGCAGCCAGACTTCCTGCCAGAAATCTGCATTAGAGTGCCTAGTAAACACTGCTATTTGCCGTCAGTTGACTTCATCTCGTGGCGGCCCCATGTGTATCAGAGTAGAACTGTGCTCTATAGGGTTTTCAATGGCTGATTTTTTGGAAGTAGATCACCAGGTCTTTCCTCTCAGGTGCTTCTAGAAGGACTCAAACCTACAACCTTTCAGTTAGCAGATGAGGTCCTTAACAGTTTGCACCATCCAGGAACTCCCAGTAAACACTACTAAAATGCTAATTCCTGTTTGGAAACTAAATTTTGGTGACCTGTAATAACTCCTTATCTACCATAATCCTTTACCAAAGGCAAAATGACAGCCCAAGGCACGTGCCACTTTTTGGATTCGGGCAATGGCCGATCAGGACCTGGAAGCCCAGCACCAGAGCAGGGAATATACCCAGAATCATCACTCTGGGGCATCCATGTCCTCTGACACCTCCTCCTGTTTACTTTCCAAAAAATAATAGAGGGCTGAAGTTTGCACCAAATCACTCTAATTTAATTTATTTTGTTGTTGTTGTTGAGAATATACAAAGCAAAATATACACCAATTCAACCATTTCTACACATACAATTCAGTGACGTTGATTACATTATTTGAGTTGTACAACCATTCTCATCCTCCTTTTCTGAGTTGTTCCTCCCCCATTAACATAAACTAACTGCCCCCTAAGTTTCCTATCTAATCTTTCAAGTTGCTGTTGTCAGTTTGATCCTGTATAACCAAAAACCAAACCCATTGCTGTTGAGTCAATTCCAACTCATAGTGAGTCTATAGGGCGGAGCAGAACTGCCCCATAGGGTTTCCAAGGAGCTGATGTTGGATTCAAACTGTTGACCTTTTGGTTAGCAGCCGAGCTCTTAACTACTGCACCACCAGGGCTCCTGATACCATGTAGACAGTTCTTAAAGTAGTAGAATGCTCAAGGCAGACATTTTTTTACTAGTTAAGCTAAACTATTGTTTGGTTTTAAGAAGACTTCAGGGGATATTTTTTGCACCAAATCACTTTTGTAATGAAATCAGAGCCAATTCAGAGTTCCCCTAGACTAACTCATTTGCATTCAGATATTCACACCCTCTTGGGTGGGAGACAGGGTGGTGTGACAGCAAATACAGCTGGAGGAATTGGGGACAGTCCGATCTCCTGAGGCCACTCCCAGACTCCCTGGTGAATGTTATCTCAGATGTGGATGGGGCCTATCTGTTGAGTGTTTCGCCAACGCCTTTGTAGGGTTTCTTCTTGATTAGGGCAGGATAAGGGGCAAAGTTGAGGGGCTGGTGGGAGGCCACAAAGCCTGGGGGACAAACCCTTACCCTTGGACACAAAAGATCTGAATTCTTGTCCTCAAGCTTCCTGTTACTGGCTGGAAAGCCTTGGAATGGTTTGTTTTCCTGTCTGCAAGATGGGGATAGTAATGTGTATTCTGGACGACAAAATTAAGTCTGGAATACACCAAACTTCCATATTGTTTGAATTTTAAATGAGGATTGTCAAAAGAAACCAAGTCAATAATAAAAGTAATCTATTAAATGAGGTTTATTCGGGAAGATTGGCAAATCCAGTACCACCAAACCACATGTAGAAAGGTATTCCACCAAGTGTCAGCAGTGATTGGCTTATACTGACAAAATGAGGAAACCAAATAAGCTTATGTTTAATTGGCTTATGCAATTTACTATTGAAACGCTATCAGTATTTCATTGGTTAACAAGAGTGTAGTGCTGTCAGAATCTTATTGGTTAAGAGGGTAGCCTGATTGACAGGAAAGCTAGGCCTAAGTTTTGGTAAAAATAAGTCTTAGGGGCGTTGTCCACTCTACTACCAACGCTATTTTGTCCACCACATGACTCCATTTTTATTTCATTTAACAGGACAATATATTTGCAATTTAAAAAGAAAAAAAAATTTTTTTTAAACAACAATGAGGGCCCTACCTATCTGCCTGCCTTACAGGATTGTTGTGCAGCTCAAAGAAGGAAAAGTCATGCTTTGTGCACTGGGAAGCGGTGTGTGTGTGTGTGTGTGTGTGTGTGTGTGTGTGTGTGT